GACTGACGGGGCCTGTGCCGGCAGCGGGTGAACGTGACGGTGCGGAGCGGGCTGCCCATGGTGCTGTCGGGCTCGGCCGAGCCCTGCGCCCAGCTGCTCGTCTCCTCCATCGGCGTGGTGGGCTCGGCGGAGCAGAACCAGCGGCACAGCGCCCGCTTCTTCGACTTCCTGACGGCGCAGCTGGGCCTCGGCCCCGAGCGGTGAGTGCGGGCCCGGCCCGGGGAGGGGGGGCTCTGCCTCGGCACCTCCGTCGCCCTGGGGGGCGAGGACTCCGTGCCTACCCCTGGGGGCAGGGAGAGGGAGAGCACCTCTTCTGTCAGGTTTATGTCTTGTATGAAACACAGCAAACAGAAGTACGGGAAGATGTTCAGTGATGATGACAATGTAGGTTTTCAGGTCCTCCATGAGATTAAGATGTAATGTAGATCCAAGGCTAGATCGCAAACATTAAGTGCTCTTGGATGCTGAATCCCAGACACATGATTGAGGCCCAGATAAAACCACGGACTGGTTTGCACTCATTGAACAGTCTGAGAACGACTGTTGTTGGAAGATGAGTAGTTCCAGCTGGTGTAATTGGTGCAAAACCCGGTGGGAATTGGTAGAGCTTCACAGTGGGGTCACCATGCCAAATGCTGAAACAAGGCTGTTCCTGAAGGTAAGCCATGTCCCTCCGTGCCCCTTTTCCCCATCTCCCCAAGAAGAGTAATAGCATTTCCCTGCCTTTTGGTGCTGTCAGGGTAAATACCTGACAAGATTATGAGCTGCTTGGGTTCTTCTGAAATGGACAAGTATCTCATAAAAACAGTGTTGAAATTCAGTCTGCTTTTCAGTTTGCGTGGATGAAGTCTGGCACCTGTTTGTACCCTACCCGTACACAGCTTATTTTTGCCTCTGTTAAATTAACACCGTGAAGCGTGAGCCAGCAAGAGCTTAGTGCAGATCTTCTACCTCGTTGCAAACTGGGCAGGGATAATATTTAATTGTGAGCCAGCAAGAGCTTAGCGCAGATCTACCTTGTTGCAAACTGGGCAGGGATAATATTTAATTGTAAAATAATGTTTCCTGTCCACTTCATTTTTGCTCTTATACCCAAAAAGGATTGTCATCCGCTTTTACCCACTGGAGCCCTGGCAGATCGGCAAGAACAGAACAGTCATGACATTCCTGTGATCCCTTGAGCGGCCAGTTGGAACAAAGCAATGGTGAAGACAACTCAGAGATGACCAGCTCCATCTATCTACTTGTTTCCTCTTACGATCAAATCTGTGTAGCTCTGCACCTTCACCTGTATGATTCACTTTTGTCTTTGCATCCCGTGCACACAAAGCTGAAGAGTGGGGCAATCAGCTGTACTGATTTTACTAAAATAGTTCAAGGTCTTTGTCTCAAGCCTGTCTCGTAGCCCAAAGGCTCTCCTGGTGCCTATGGCTAAGCCATTGCAATCTGATGATGGCCACACGTGGGCCTAGAAAAAGCTCTCTTGTAGCAGCAATAAGTTTAATTCCAGAACACATTTGGCTTTATTGAGGACCAGAGGGGTTCTTGGGTTCATCCAGATTTCCTCATACTTTGGAAGGCAGAAAGAGCCTTCTTTCTGTTTCTCTGTGGCAGCAGAAGGGTCCCAGGCTGACTAAGAAGACCTGGGAGACAAATTCTTCTCTTTTCATGCTCCCCAAAACTCCTTTCTGGAAAGGGGTGTGATTATTGGAAGGGAAGTTTATGCATTTATATAATTGTTTATTTAAGGCTCATGTCAGATCTTGTGCTCTGTGCTCTGCCATCGCCACCCACGGTGGCTGCTCCTACAGTTTTACTTGTCTGCAAGATTTTCACGGCTGAATGTTTGTGTGCCAATGGCAGTGTGTAGAGGAGGGACTTGCTTGTGAAGAATTGCACTGTGCCACAGGAAAATACTTTGAAGGTTCTGCTACTGCTAGCTTTAATTCCTGTCATTCACCCAGTTGTTCAAAATACTTTTCCTCATCCTGGTGTTACAGGGAGTTTTGGGATGATGCAGCATCTCACTGTGTTCTGTGGATGGTGTTTTCAGCTCACTGTCCCTGCAGGGAAGTGTTTTGGGTGTTCAGGACCCATATGCTCCCTCACTTTATAACTGGAATACATGTGGCATTTTATTAAAACAAAAGCATGGTACTTTTTATGTATAATGTTATCTCTGCCTTCCACTGATAATGAAAACATTTATCAGTTTCCTTTCCACTTTGTGACTTGGTCAGGTCGCAGACAGGGAGCTCAGAGGAACTGAGAGCATGCCCTTGGGACATGGAGGTCCATGGGAACGCAAGGCTGAAGGGTGCTTCTGCACTCCTTTGTCATTCTGATTGGAGTTTTATTTGCTTATGACGAGGTCTCAAGATAGTTGAAAATATTCCTTCTAATTACCATTTGAAGTTGGTTGTTCCCTATGCAGCATAAACATCTTCTATGTTTGCAAAATCTGTCAGGACTGTAATACCAAACAAATTTGTGTATCAGGCTAGGGGGGCTGCACTTTGTCTGGTTAATAAAATGTATCAAAGCCTCTTTTGATAAGTGTTGGTTTATTGGCTTACAATGTTGGGGTTTTTAGCTCCCAGCACTTGGAGTCAGGTATCATGGCTGCCCAGGTCCCTGCACTTTCTCAGGAGGTCTTTTCAACTAAAAGTTTTGAAACTCGGGTGACGAACAGGTAGGTGAACTGAGTCTGAGACACACGTGTAACTCAGGAGTGCTCTGTTGCAGGGAAGAGGGTGGACAGCCCTGGCTTTGCAAAAGGGCTTGACCAACCTGAAGGTGAATACTCTGAAATGCAGAAAATTATGTCGCTTTAATTCTGATCTGCAGACAGCTCATTTCCTGGAGGTGAAATGAAAGGAACAAGCACAAACTCTTGCCAAAGCCTTTGTTTCCTTTAGAGAAACCCTGGTCTGCCCCGTGCCCCAGCTCTCCTTTTTCGGGCCATGTTGGCCACTGCTAGGCACTGCCGCAGGCTCTGTGCCTTCCTCTCACCCTCGGCTGCTCCCCGTGTGGGCTCTTGCCTGGGAGCGACTTTCCCAGCATTGCAGAGCTGAGCAGGAAGAGATAAGGAAGGAGAGGGAAAGCTTAGAAAAGAGTATGCCATGCAAAGATGTCTGAATAAAATGGGTCCTCAGTGTGACTTTCCCACCCGTTTCCACGGTGTATCTGCATTCTGGCGTTATCTGACAAAAAGTCCTAGAATAATGCAAAATCACGGCCAAAGTGCTGGGTCAAGGACCATCTTGAGAATTTTATGGTTCATGGACTTTGAGCTTTTTTTTGTAAGAGCAGTTAAAATATTAATCAGAGGATCATTTGGTTAGGAACTGTTTGTGCCGTGGTCTGAGCCAATTGATACATTTTTGGTGCTGGTGTCTGTCAGCACAGAATGAGATTCTTTCTGAGAGTCCTATGAGCTTGCGGCTGGCTGTTTTCCTTCATAAACTGCTGGTGCTGAATATACTTTTTATGTTCACATTGATCTGAAGGGATGGCCTATTTTTCCTCCACTGAGCTAATGTTAGAGTAGGTTTGTATAATATTTTAGGGCTCGAGAAGGATACACTGCAAAGGGCAGCCCCCTGAAACTCACCTAGAGCACACACACAGAAACCAACAGAAGCAGGAAACCTTTTCTCACATCTCTGTTGCTTGTTTCCTAGTTGGAGAAAATCAGATACACCACCCTCATCTAGGGCTCAGCAGTAGTGTTATAAAATCCCTTTCCCTTGAACGCTACGTGCAGATTGTCCCTCTTCCGTGGGATGGAGCCCGCCTGACATCTGGATTTAGTATCTCCCAGCTACGGTGGATCTTTTTTGCTGTCGTACTGACCCTGTCACCTCCTAGGCTTAACCTCCTGAGGTTGACTAATATTTCTGCTCCCAGAAATGGCCTCTGTTGGTTTGTTTGAGAACTCTCTGTAGCATGTTTGCAAATTCAAAGGCAACGACCTGATTTTGAACACTGTGTAACCATTTCCTAACTTCAAATCTTTGAAGTGAAGACAGTCTTTCTGGTATTTACACAAGAGAGGGCCAGTGAGGCCCTGAGCACGCTGAAGGGCACTCCTGACAGAAAAGTATTACGGAATCACGATAGCTTTTGAAATTATTCTCCAAGCACAACAGTGTGATGCTGCTGTTCTCGGCAACCCTGTTCTTAGTTTGTCATGATGGAAAGATGGGCGTTATTTTCTCCCACAAATGGCCATGACCCTAGAGTTCATACATTTAGGACGAAGAGGACTCTTCCTTACAGTGCTAAGTGCCGATTCGGTGAAACGCCTGAGCACAAGCTTAACTTCATCAGTGTGATGTGTCCTGTTGTGACAAGAGGTGGCTTTAAACATGTGGTTATATCCCACAGATGGAGCAAGGCCCGTGTGCCCTTATCAGTCTGTGTCTGCTCAGAGGCTGTCCTGACACGGTGCCTGCACCAGGAGGGCTTGTGTGGGGCTGCAGATTTTAAGACTCGCTGCAATATGATCACCTTACATTTAAATAGAATTATTTCCACCGGGAGCTGTCGCAGTTACTGTTTGGCTTGGGTCACTGCCTCACACCGTCCTGCTGCCATCGCACAGAAACACCTCCCAGGGTCATAAAAGCATGTTGCCGTCTCCAGCTAGCACCACGGCAAGTTTTAGGGAAAACCAGTAACTTTGGGACGATTTCCAAACCCATTGGAAAGGGCATCCGGAATTTACTTGAGCTTTTGCCCCGCGCCAGCAGAGGCCTCGGCCCCTGTCAGCCCCAGCTCTAACTGCGGCTCCGCCCGCCCCTCTCCCGCCTCCCTGTCCCCAGCGTTCCGATTGGCTGTCTAAGGAACGGCTGCTCGGCCAATGAGCAACCTCTTTATTGGCGCGCGGGGCTCCGGGGGTTCGGAGGAGGTTGCCGTGGAGAC